ATATTTTAAAGAATATGGGTAATTTAAAAATTAAAATATATAATTTCAAAGGTGAGAGGTAGTTATGATATGGCAGACAGAGAACTGACCACAGAGTCAGGAAGACCTGGGTTCAAGTGCCATTTCTGCCATTTGTAACAGCCTTCTAATCAACCTCCATTCCTCAAGTCTCTCCTTATTCTAATTCATCTTCCACTTAGATGCCAAGGTAATTTTACTAGCGCAGTCCAACCATCAACCTCCTGTTCAGGGAGCTCCGCTGGCTCCCTATTACCTCTAAGATCAAATATAAAATCCTCTGTTTAGAATTTAAAGGTCTTTTTAACCTGAGCCATTCCTACCTCTCTAGTCTTTCTTCCACTTCACTCCCTTCCATGATTCAGCTATACCAGACCACTTGCAGTACACTGAACATGTCCCTTTGTCTCCCACTTTTGCAGCAGTGCCTTTGCCTGGGCTATCTCCCATGCTTAGAATGCTCTGTTTCTCATCTTTGCCTTTTGGTCTCCTTGGCTTCCTTCAAGACTCAACACAAATCTCATCTGCTGGAGAAGGCTTTTTATGGTTGTTCTGGCTGCTAATGCCTTCCCATTTTAGATTACTTTCCATCTATCCCATTTATATCTTGGATATACCTAGTTATTTACACGCTATCATCTCCATTAGATGATAAGCTCCTTGAAGGCAGAGAGCATTTTTTGCCTTTCTTTGTAGCCCTAGCTATACCTTAGCACAATGACTCAAATAGTAAGTGCTTAATAAATGCTTTTTAACTGACTGACTTTATCTTGTTTCCTCATAACTGCCCTATCTGTAGACACCAATCATGTCCTCAGTTGTCTTTTCTTCAGGTTAAATATCCCCAAAGCGTAAAAGTAAATAATTCCAGGCCTTTGAAAGATGAGTAAAATTTGATTAGGTAAAAGGACAGGGACGGGCATTCTAGGTATGGAGTAAGGCATAAACAAAGGTGCAAAGGATGTTAAAACTAGGGTCAATTGATAAAATCACACAGAGGAACATTTTGGTTCAAATCTAAGGAAGAATTGACCATCAGATCTGCCCAATAATGGAATGGGCTGCCTTATTACATGATGACTTCTCTGTTGGAAAGGTAAAATATCAAGATGTTGTAGGAAGGAATCCTGTATGGTGTGGGGAACAGACTATATAGCATATAAGGCTCTTCCCAAACTGGCTCTTGGCTTATCAAATATTATTAATCTTTTTATTTTATTAATTTATTTTGATTTATCAATAATCACTTCCATATGCTTTTGAGTTTAAAATTTTTCTCCCTCCCCCCTAAGACGGCGCAAAATCTGATATAGGCTATACATCTGCATTCCTATTAAACATATTTGCACATTAGTGGTGTTGTAAGTAAAAATTAAAACCAATAAAAGGAACCATTAAAAAGAGGAAACAAAACTCAACAGAAGAGAAAAAAAATAGCAATTCAACTTCCATAGTTCTTTCTTTGGATGTGGATAGCATTTTCCATCATGAGGCCTATGGAGATGTCTTAGAGCCTTGTATTGCTGGGAAGGGTTAAGTTTATCAATATTAGTCATCGCATAATGTGGCTGTTATTGTGTACAACATGCTCTTGGTTCTGCTCATTTCACTCAGCATCAGACCATACAAGTCTTTCCAGGTTTTTCTGAAGTCAGCCTGCTTATCATTTCTTGTAGCACAATAGTATTCCATTACATTCGTATACCACAACTTGCTCAGTCATTCCCCAATTGATGGGCATCCTCTCAATTTCCAATTCTTTGCCACCACAAAAAGAGCTGCTATGAATATTTTTGTACATGTGGTTCCTTTTTCCATTTGTATGATCTCTTTGGGATATAGACCTAGAAGTGCTATTGCTGGGTCAAAGGGTATGCACATTATTATAGTTCTTTGGGCATAGTTCCAAATTGCTTTCCAAAATGGCTGGATCATTTCACAGCTCCACCAACAATGCATTAGTGTTCCAATTTTCCCACATCTTCTCCAACATTTATCATTTTCCTGTTTTGTCATGTTGGCCAATCTGACAGGTGTGATGTGGTACCTCCGAGTTGTTTTGATTTGCCAAATATCATTAATTTTTACAATGTCTCCTTTCTAGCCCAGCTCTCTACTTATTCTGCTCTGAAACTGTCCCTCCATTTCCTGCTTCTGGGCTTACACAGGTGATACTCAATGCCTGGAATGTTCTCTTGCCTCACTTGCATCTCTTAGAAGCCCCAGCTTCCTTCAAAATTTAGCTCATGCACCATGCCTTATGAGAAGCTTTTCCTGATCCTCTCGGTTATTATTGCTCTTTCCCTACTTCTCAAGTCATCACGTATGTATTTATCTGTTCAAATGTCCTATCTCTCCAGTAGAATGTAAATTCCTTGAGGGGAGGGCTTGTTTTCTTTCTGTCTTTATACTGAGAAAACCTAGTAAAGTGAATTCCATATAGAACATGTGCTTAACAAAAACTTGTTGGATTGGATAAATTAGGATTATATCCTTTAAAATTCTAAGGTCTTATAAGTCTTCATACCACATTGGTATAGAATTCGAATAGCCAAGTACCCTGAGTTCTATTCTCTTTGGCAGAAAGACTGGTGCTCTCTTGGCCTATTTAAACCTATGCAATGTAGCATTAGTGTTTCAACAGGTAGAGGGGCCTTCAGTTATTCTTTTATCAGTTCTTTCTTTGCATATCCTATAGATTGTTTCTTAGATCTCACCTAAGCAATGGATGAAAGGGGATGAAAATATTATATCCTCTCCCCAGGACAGTTTTTTCCCCTTATTCCAAGAAGGTAGAGGAACCCTTTCTTCATATAAGGCTGTCAGGCTGATCTTCCGTCCTTCCTTCCTTCCTTCCTTCCTTCCTTCCTTCCTTCCTTCCTTCCTTCCTTCCTTCCTTCCTCCCCTTCATCATCTATCTATAAAGGATAGGCCTTATGACTCAACTCTGGATTCCCACAATCCCAGAGTGAGAGAACTTTAGAATTGGATGGACCTCAGAATATACCTGAACAAGAATCTCCTCTACCGTATCCCCAACAGGTGGTCTTTCAGCTTTGGCTGGAAGAAATTCCAAGGGGGAACACATTAATTCCCAAAGCAGCCCATTTTACTTTTTGGTAGCTCAAATACCTACACGTATTTCCTTACATTAATCATCAGCCTCTGTGCAACTCCTACCCATCATTTTAAGTGAACAAACATTTGTTATTCTTAGCCAGGGGAAAGCAGAATAAGTTTAATTCCTCAGCCACTCATTGATTACAAGGATAAGAAAGTCCTCACCACTGAAGTCCTTGGCATTGTCAAGTGGTTCAACGTCAAAATGGAGATGATTTATCAAGGAAATGACATTTAAGAAGATGCATCACCATCTGCTTTGCTATTGCACCCTAAGGACCATGGGACCTTTCCATCTGACTTGCAGCTGAAACCTGCTCTCTGTTGCCTCCCTCTTGAGAACAGGAGCTCCCTGAAAACAAAAACTGCCTTGCTTTTCTATTTCATCCCCAGCACTTAGCACAATGTTTTGCACATAGCAAATGCTTAAGAAAGTCTTCTTTCCTTCCTTCCTTTTCTTCTACATGGCCTGTTTTTTAAGTATTTGGAGACAACTATTACGTGTTTCTGGTTCAGGCTAACCATCTTCAGTTTTTTCAACCAACCTCATTATGACAATAGTTTCTAAACCCCTACCAAATGCCATTATGGAATCACCTTTAGATTCAGTATCATTCTGGCCAATCTATTCCTGACATACTCTTGCTTGTTCTGATATGTGAAGGCTGGAAATTCCAGACGCATTCTGATTATAAACATTATGCCTCTTTTAATGCAACCTAACATTAACCTTTTTTTTGGCTGTGATATTACACTGTTGATTCATACTGAATTTACAATTCACTAAAACCCAGGGTTTTTTTTTTATACCAATTATTGCTTGCTCTATGCATCCTATATTTATGCAGTTGATTTTCTGAACCCAGATATAGGCTTCAATATTTACCCTTATTAAATTTCCCTTATTAGATTAGCCTTTTATTTTGGATTTTGTTTTGAATCTCTTTGTCATCCAGCATTAGATATCTCCTTCCCTTACGCCCACCTCCAGCTTTGTGTTATCTAAAAATCTGATGATGGAAGTTATACTTCCAGTGACTACATTAGCGTCATTGATTAGAATGACAAACAGCACCAAGTCAAGGATAGGTCCCTGGATCAATCCACTAGAATTCTCATTGTAAGCTGACAATCATCTATTAGGGACTACTCTTTAAAACTGCTTTCAACAAATGCTTTCAAATGCATTTAACTATACTATCATCTGGCCATACCTCCCCATCGTCTCCTCAAGACTAACAGGAGATATTGGCAAACGCTTTGCCAAAACACTGTATACTCTACATAGGGATTCTCTTGCTCTATGAGGTTAGCAACTCTGTAAAACCTGGAAATGAGGTTAGTTTGATATGAGCTATTCTTGATGATAACGATTATGACGATAATAACAAGAGTAACAATAACTAGCATTTATGTAGCATTTTAAGGCTCGCAAAGCACATGTTAGGTGCTATTGTAAGCCTTATTTTATAAATAAGGAAACTGTGACTTGTCCAGAGTCACAAGGCTAGCCGTTAGAAGGAGGATTTGAACTTAAGTCTTCCTGGTTCAAAATCCAACACTATTTACAATACCACCTGGGCTCTTAGTGATCATGACTTCTCCTTGCTCACAAAATATCCTAGAATTTTGCTAGGAACTGAAGTCAAATTCACTGGTAAATGTTTTAAAGACCCCTGCCCTCTTCCACTTCAGAATATTGGGAAACATTCCCATTTCTCTAGTCCTGTGGCATCCTCCCATTTTTCAATGCTTTTCAAAGATCACTAACATCATTCAGCAATGATACACAGTTTATTTAGTTTTCTGGGATAGAGTTCATTGCAGTTTAGTGACTTTAGCTCATTGAAAACAACTCTTACCTTTTCACTGATTTGGGTTTTCAACTCCCTGTTAACCATTTTTGCTCTATCCTTCTGAGTCTGAAGATCATTATCCTTAGGAGAAAAAACAAAACCAAATTAAGAGCTTAAATAAGTATGATTTCTCTCCACCCATCATCTGTTTTCATACCACCCACTCTAAACAGAAGTCCTATTCTTTTTTTTTTTAATTCTAAAAATGTTTAATACTATTTTCACTCATTTAAAATAAGAACTTAAGTATGGACACACTTGAATTGCATTTTTTCAGATAACAGCTTTTTGGTTAAAGGATCAACTCAGACCATATGCTGTTTTGCACATGTACAAAAAACGTTCCTCTCCTAAAAGGATAAGGCATTCATATCCTGAAGAGCATCCCCTCCTTTCCACAGTCCTACCCATTCTTTGTTCTTCCTTTTTTCAGCTATATTAGCTCTTTAAAAAGTATCTTGTGTTTCCTTGGCATTTGTTGCCAACCCTGGCTGGTTCTGAGCTCTGGCACTTCTGACATTATCCTTCCAGGGCTGTATTATGTTTCTGTGTCCATCCTATGTCTGAGTGTGTCTTCTATGCACGCCTTTTGTCCAGTGAATTCTCCATGTATCCATATTCATCTCTCTGGTCATCTCCCCCTTTTCTTCCTCATCTGAACTGTTTGTACTTGAGTTGTTAGGATGCCATTCATGAGAGCTTCCCATCAGGCAGATTTACCACAGCTTTTTGGGTTAGGGGATTCTACTTTATCTTCTTTTTCCATACTCTTTGCAATGGGTTCTCCTACAATCTAAGTGATCTGTCAGAGGAGTGCTTCCCAGGCACAAAAAGTACTTAAAACAATGCAGTGAGGGAAGCTGCCTCTCTAGAAACATGCTTCCTAGAAAAGAACTATTTTCATTATCAGAAAGGCAGAAAGAGTAGCAGTGAAGATGAAGTGAAAGCCTTGGTTATCTCTGCCCCTTGCAGCTGGGTGTATTCAAACCCTGACCAATTGGGTGGATGTTTAGTCCCTGCCTACAATGGTTTGAAAAATCTATTAATTTTTCAAGAAGAACAGATGCTCTCACCCTTAACTAAAATGCAAGGTTCAATCCTGGCCCCATTTCCCACCTGTGTTAAGAGCTATAATAGCTGTTTTCCTTAGGTTACTGCAGGAGACTACTTCTTTGGATTCACTTAGTCTCATAATAATAGCAGAGAAATGACCTGGTGATGAGCAGAGACGTGTACATTCCAACCCCACCCTCCAACCGGCTCTGTGCTCTCTGTGATGTGGATTTGATGTGGGGATGTCTGCTCTGGACCCCAGAACTCCTCTAAGATCATGCCTCCGAGTGAACGTGAAACATTCCTGAGCCACCTTCCACACCCCACTCCTCTGTTCTTTATAAATTGCCTCCATTTGTAGCTGATGGACTGCAGGATTTGATTCTTGAAAAATGAAGGTGCCCATGCCAAAAAAGATCTCCCTACTCCCCAAGCACATTCACCTGTCACAGCTCCACACTCCTCTCGGGCCTTTTCAGAAATGTTTACAATCCTCTGGCTAGTCAACAGGCAATAATACCATTCTCTCCAGAGAAACAATAGCCGTGGGAGAAGAGGGGGCTAATCATACTGGATTCCTCCTTACTAGGGACCTTCAAGCAAAAGCCAGATGACCACCTGGTGCGTGTGCACTGCAGAGAGATTTCTCATTTCAGGTATGACTTATACTAGCTGGCCACGGAGGTCCTTTCCAACTCTGAAATTCTTTTATTGTTTCTGAGAGCTAAGTTCAGAGAGGTTCATCACCAGGTTGGCCATAGGAAGATGAATCTTTCCATCCTAGCAAGTCTCAAAAACTGCTTCCTCATGGAACACCATCTGTGTTGGTCAAGGAAGTGCCCACACCAAAGGCATCAAAGATCTGTGGAGTGCTCAAGTATAGATATATATGTATTGACACTGAATTATAAGGATGTATTCTGTCTTCAACAGTTGATCTATTCAATAAACCCTGAGAGGCGTCACCTGCAGCTCTCACTGATGAACCCAGATGAATTGATGAGAACCATGTAACCATAATCCTATGATTCCCCACGATGGGCCCTCTGCTCTAGTCAGGTCTCTCTGTCTTAAGATCATAGAAAGTTCATTCTGTGGGCCCTGCCTGGAATGCCCTTCCTTCTCCCCTGGTCAACTCATTGCCCAATCATCTGACTTCTCTGTCCTGAACTCCTACTACTCTTAGGTTCTCTACTTAACATTAAGTATTTAACCTCAGTTCACCTGGATAAGTCTTGTTAGAGCTCCCACAAAGTTGAAGGACACTATCTTACTCTCTCCCTCTCTTACTTTCCCACGGTGTCAAGCACAAGGCCTTAAACACAGTAGGTGTTCAGTAAATATTTGCTGAATGAAAGCCTGGGTCTGTCACTTGCTTGCACAAGATCAAATGCAATTTCCTCTGTTTTGCACATAACGCTCAGTCCTATCTTATGCTCACCAGTATCCACTATCCCCAGTATCATCTGTTGCCACAAATGGGGTGAGGGTAAAGAACATGTGTGAAGTTATGTCCTCCATGCCTTGGGTCCAGCTATGGATTTTCCTTTCTGTCACCCTCATTGGTTCTGGGTTGCGGGGTCACAAGGCCCTTTCTTTGTGCTATCCTTGACCTTAAAGAGCTTCCTATTTTAGGGCAAAAGGCCAGAGAGACCTGGCCAAGACAGTATGATGGCACAGAGGGAAGAGAGGACGGGACTTAGGAGTCAGAAGTCTAAGCTCTCTCCTGGCTCAGTTATCGATTGGGTGTATGACCCTGGGCCAGTCACGGGATCCTTCTATACTGCAGCTTCATCATCTTTAAAATGCAGATGATGATTCTTGCCCTGCCAACTTCACTAGGATCCTGTGAGGATCAGATGGATGTGAAAACTCACTTATTTTGTAACTCCAATGGGCCGTGCGAATGCCAGCTGGTTCGTTATTATCTTCTGCATAGACACACAGAGGGATATGTGGGAGCCCATACAGTTTGGATGAGGGCAGAGGCCAAGCTGGTCCCATGGAAAGTGAACCCACCAGTATGCACATGGCCCACTGTCAGTAAGACAAACACTCAGAGTAGGCACTGTGCCACCTGCATTCACGGTCCTTCTTGGAATGTAGCAGAGCTTCAAGATTTACAAAGGGCTTTACATATATCTTCTCATTTGATTCTCACAAGCACCATGTCAGGTAGGTGTTGGTATTATCCCCATTTTACAGATGAGGACACTGAAGCCCAGAGAGGCCAAGTCTCACAGCTGGTGTCTGTCAGCTAGCCTGATGGAGAGTGAGATGTCGTCTGGTTTGAGGGTTGGGTTTTCAGGGATTCTTAACTTGGGATCCATGAACTCCTTTCTAAAAAACTGTTTTGATAACTATATCACAACAGAATTGGTTTCCTTTGTAATTTTATGCATTTTATTTAAAAATGATTTAGGGAAGGGGTTAATTAGCTTCACCAGACTGCCCAAGGGTTCCCTGACACAAAAAGGGTTAAGAACCCCTGGAATACCCAAAGAGATGGCCCTGAGCTTGCTGCCGGGAGACTCAAAACTTCAAGTTGGTTTTCTGAGGCTGAAGGTACTAGCGCATTTCTGGGGCAAAGTCAGCAGGCTTGTTATTTCTCTCCGGCAGTGGGTATTTCCTGCTCAGGCACAAAGACAGCTTCCAGCATCTTCAGAGACTCATCTGTTTCAGGGACATCCCCAAAGTCCTGAATCCCCCTCCTGCATTTGGCTGAATTAAGATGCAGTGGGAGGAGGCTGCCAGCTCATCCTGGATCCACGTCACTGATGGGAGTATGAGGATTGCCTTTTTAGCAGAATTCCTGGATCAGAGAATTTGTGAGCCAAGGAGGAGGCCAAAGAAGGCTCACAAATGCCTGGGCTTCAGGCTTTCAGGGAAGACACCTGTCAGACAGTCCAGCGGCCAGAGAATCCTGGGGAGACTTGTGATGCCTCAGATTGAAGCCTGGGGCGAAAAGCATCACTTCTCATTGAATAGTTCCTTAGGGCTAGCAGCAAGCTCCAACCCTAGAGTCCATTTCACCATGAGAAGGAAATGAAGCCATCTCAGAACTGAAGGTCCTGGCTTCTCCCACATTTTTAAAGAACCTCAATGCACCCAACCACCAGCGTGGTACTTATATCCTCCCCTTTCTGTGCTCTTCTCTCCTCCCTAGTGGATGTGAGATAGGTTTGGAAGAGGGGTTGAAGTTCAATGGATGCTGACATCAGTGATTAGTTGGCTCCAAGAATCTCAGAGTTGGGAGGAACCACAGAAGAAGCATTCTGTGAACATATTTCTAAAATATTTTGATAACTATATTTCAAAATAATTAGTATTCCTTAAAATCCTATGTACTTTATTTTATACATTTAAAAGTTCCTTGACAGCAAGGACTGTTTTATCTTTTTTTTTGGATCTCTAGTGGCTTGTACAGTTTGGCACACATAGCACGTGTTTAATAAATGCTCGTTTATTGAAGAGTCCACGGGCTTCACCAGACTGCTAAAGGGGTCCGGGACACAAAAAAGGTTAAGAATCCCTGCTTTAGGTGAGATAATATAGTCCAACTCCCATTTACTGTAAGAATACCTTCTACAGCATGCTAGATAGTACAATGGATAGAGTACCTGGCCTGGAGTCAGTTTCCTTTTCTGTAAAATGATGATAATAGCACCTACCTCCCGGGGTTGTTGTGATGATTAAATAAGACAACTGTAAAGTAAATAAGACAACTGTAAAGTGTGTAGTACGGTGCCTGGCACATAGTAAGAGCTATATAAATATTAGCTATTATTGTTATTACAGTAGCACCGATAAGTCGTCATTCAGTCTGTTAGAAGAAGCATCTGTAGGTTGGGACGGGACCTTGCTTGTCCAAGCCATGTGGCTTCCTCTTACTCTACCATGTTGTTGTTATTCGGTTGTTTTTCAGTTATGTTTGACTCTTCATGGCCCCATTTGGGGTTTTCTTGGCAAAGATACTGAAGTGGTTTCCCATTTCCTTCTCCAGCTCATTTTACAGACGAGGAAACTGA